CATAAAGCAAAGGTGTAGTGTAGTCGTAACTTTTAATGGTAAAAACACAAACGTTTTCGGGCATCGCCCTTCATCAGGTGGTCATCAATCAGTTGATGCTTAAAAACATTATATGAAGAATGTATTTTTAGGCTGGAATAGTGAAGCATGTATTTTTAGAGGGCTTCAAAGGGCTTCCCTGTTGCTCACTATTTTAAATTAAAGAGCTATGCTATCAGTGATTTAGGCTAGTTAATCTTAGGCACCAACTTCAAAATCCGAGTTTACATTCGATTTCGCCTGCATAATGACAAAATTTAAATTCGGCAAACTGGGTTCGGTAAACCGGGTATCGGCCAACTGGGATATCATGTTTTTGGTGAATTTGATTTGGCAAAGTGGGTTTTTTGGCAAAATGGGTTAAATTCGGCAAACCGGGTTTCGACAAACTGGATTTTGACTAACTGGGAGGATACCGTATAAATATAAGCCTAGGCCTTTGTGAATTTAGGCAGTTGGTAGAACCGTATAATAAAGTGGTTTTAGTTCAGTTATGAACCGACGGAATGGGGCGAGTAGATGATAGTGGTAATGTCATGCCTATGGCTATTTAAAAGTTGATTGTAATCTGAATACTATTAGATGTTAAGATAGTATAATCCTGATGATGACATTAATGTCGAAATATTGAATCCCGACACGATGGCGTGCATTTCGATACTCTGAGATTAATCAGTGGACCCGGTTTCGGTTATTAGATGTTAATGTATGGATACTTGAGTTATAAATCTGCAAAAATACTGTGAAATGTTAATGCATGGATGTTTTATGCATATTTTGCTTTAATTCAGTGTCACCTAACTTTCCATTTAGAGATACTGAGCTACTTATAATTGTATGGAACTAAAGCAGAAGCCATAAAGAAGGATGATGCGTATACGGTAAATCATAGCTGCCTATAACCATCGTCAAGAATGTGCAGCATTCATTGATAGCGGATATTCAATATTTTTAAACTAGTGGCGTTCATGTGGGAACAGCGATTACAATAAGAACGTATAGTATCAAGAGAAATTTGTTTTACTATAATTCAAACAGTGATACTATACTATATAAATTATACTGGTAGTTATTAAGATATGGAGAATAAATTAATTCAGATTTTGGTAACAATATAAAAAAGAAATTAAAAAATGTTATTGATATGTATATATTTTACTGATACGTATATACGTCATTGCTATAGAATCGAATGATCCGTGCGTTATTACATTCTATATTTGTATCGTTTGTATTGTTTATTGTTTTTTTTTAAACAGAAAAACCATTACTTTGGAAGAATTAAAATAATAATTTTTTGTTAAATTTAAAACGTTGTAATTCGTTTGTTGTGTACTACCGTTGGACAGACATTATAATTCCGATCCAAATTTGTTCGTTTGTGACTTTTATATCTGTTTATTTCATAGGTGACAGTAACGAAGAGGGTTTTGCTTGATATGAAAGAAAGTGTGTTATTTTAATGTTCTAATGTAAAAATTAACATTTCAAAAATTCAAATTAAATGAGTAGGTGAAATTCATTATTTAGGTTCAATATAGCCAGAAAAAATTATATTGTAATTTTAATAATATGTAATATACATCTTACAGATTGTAGACGCAGCTCCCCACTTGTAAAAAGCCATTATTTGATTTAAGAAAATAATTCAATTTTGTATTGTGTTTCAAGTTTGCTATTGAATGTTTGTGGTTTTGGTCTGAGGTAACGTAACTTTGAATATTATGAAAACGAATGACTAATGGTTGCAATGCTTGTCAGTGGCATACATTCAGGTGCCTAATATAAAAATCCATTCTCAGTTTTGTGGTTTGTTAAAAGGCGGAATGTTTTCCTTACCAGTTGATGACATAATAACGATTGCGGCTCGTGACATGATGCCGTTTTTCTTTGCTTTATATGAAAAAACAGCTGGATAACCCGGTGGAATTTGTACGGCAAGATAATCGAAATCGCCACGCTTTCTCGAATAACATGTGCTTCCCTGTGGGAAAACTGTATCAGTTGAGAGTGTAGTGCCGCTATCAGCCCACGTGACGTTCCTGAGGTCTCGGTCTTCATTCAAGACACCTAGCGATATGTCTTCGGACCTGTCCGCTTTTATTGTATATCCACGAATTTCAGTACGCTGTCCGCCGATAATGAGAGGTGTATGTGAAAAGAAAACTATATCCAATGTCTGTAAGTTCTCTGAATAAAAATTAAAATGGAAAATATATGAGCTTCATTCATTTTTTTTACATTTGCTACTATCACACACAAATTCACAATTTTGAATTTGAGCATTGCAGTTTATACTAAATAAGAAAACATAAAAATAACACTGCCTATATTTTGGTATATATATACATATACAT